TGTCATTCTGTTCCACTTTCCTCCTGCCTTTTCCATCCCTACTCTGTCCTCTCCTTCCACACAGCCTCATTACCCTGCCCTTTCCTCCAGCGAGCAGTTTCGTTCGAGCGCCCCTTTCCCCTTGGTTGCATTCCCCCTCTTTTCCCTTCCCCTCCTCTCCATGCCCATCTGGTCCTTTTGCAGACCTTTTCTTTTCCTTGCCTCTACCTTTACTCTTCTTGTCCTTGTTTTCTGATGTCGGCCTGCCGTCCCTTCCGTGCTTCGTCCCTGCATGCCTACCTACCTTCAAATGGACAACGGAGAAGCATCTGATTTGCTACGCTGATGGTTGGGAAAAGCTGAGAGAAAAGAATGAAACCATCAAACAAAGCGATGGTCACTGAACTGAACACCGTAGATCTATCTGATGTTGATGGATATTGCTTCTCCTGACGTTGTTTTGTGTTCTACAGCTACGACGGCTGGCCAAGCAAAGATCGAAGGGGAGATACATGGACAAGGTCATTGCAAAGGAGAAGAGGAAATTGCATGTCAGCGAGAACCCAGCTCCGCCCAGAGAGCTGGCAGATGTTTGGGCCGAGTAATCAGGGACCACCATCATTCAACTGGATGTCGTCCCTGCCGCCACTCGTGTTATGGGGTAATCCGTCTCCACCTCTTTTTCACCTTCTGTGGGTGTAGTAGCCTTGCTCTTTTACAGAACACTTGCCCGCCTAAAAGTTTCTGTGCTCCCTCTGCCAAGATCTGTGTACACAACAAGCGGGAGTCTCAATTGGGGAAAGAGCTCCAGAGGTACAGGCAGAGTAGGGTGAGTGGTAGGAAGAATAGGTTCCGAGTTTCCGTGTCATCTTTTTCTCCATGTAACGAGTTTGATTGGTCCTCTTACCTCAGAGGATAGCTAACGTTGAGTTTCTGATCGTATTGAAATTTTTGTTTTTTTCAAAGCGGTCAGAATGTGAAGTTATTGAGGCCACTTACGAGTGAGTTCTAATCATAGCGTTCATGTTTGGTCTGCATTCCTTTGCCTATCTCATTGTTGATGGACAAACAGTGGATGCATGCATATGGATGATGGATGGATGGATGGATGGATGGATGGAGGATGGACTGTTCATTTTGGGGTGTGTGCTGTTTGTTTTCTCTGCGTTAGGAGGTGTCACCTCTCCTTGACTGTAGTGTGGGGAAGCATGCGAGTGGTGTACATATGTTTTTGAAATCAGACTCGCTCTCATTCACACTTCTCATGCATGCAAACAGGTGCGCAGCAAACTGGCGACAAGCGCCCACTCAGAACTCAGAGATATGGTAACCGAGAACACAGATCAGATACAATTTCACTTCGATGGCTATGGCGACTCAGCGCCCACACAACTCTCTGTTCGCATACACAGGATCACCCTGGATATCCCACACGCGATACTCTGAACACACACACACACATACACTGAACTCCACCTACAGCTATGGCGGCTATGGCCGCTACTACCCTATCGCTATGGCTAAGCTCCTTCTCTCTCGCCCACTTCGTCCTCGGGTTCACTGCAGACCACCTCGCACAAGTCGCTTGTGGCAGCGCCTCCGCATGTCTCACGCAGGAATGCATGAATGACTGGGCGCTGCCTCTTGATTTATACTTCTGCAGCTTGTTGATCTGGCCCTTTTCCCATGCCTGTAGTGCACACAGTCCCATGCGGTACTTGCTTGACTAGACCAGGATTGTCTAGGACTGGGACTGCTGACTCAGCACGGGTAGACTCCACCACTTGCCCACTTGCCTCAGCCTAAACGTGGGCAACTTCGAAAGGCCACTACTCGGACCTTCCGGAAGGCTGCGGACTTGGCCTTTCGATACTGTAGCAGCTACGACCTTGACCTTTCTGGACTGTAGCAGCACGACCTTGACCCTTCGAGAAAGCTACAGCTACGACTTCTAGACCTGACTGAGACTCCTACTCGACAGGTCTACAGATCGAACCCCTGCTACCTACGGACCCTACAACAACCTACCAACTGTTACGAATACACAGGTCACGGGTTCAACTCTAGGGGTCGACACAGGTACTGTACACAGGTAAGGTGGGGACTAGGGATCGAGCCTTGGGATCTGCAACAGCTACTGCGAACTGGTGAATACCGTTTCATTTTGCTGACTTTCCAGTGTAATAGGAACTGGACTGATAATCCCGAGAATCGAAGGCGCTGGGCCCGGGATGACCAGTCTTTCTGCAAAAAAAAAGAAAAGAAAAAAAGGATTCATTGCGATGGCATGAATCTATATGTACCTTGAATATTTTTTTCCTTGTTTTTTTTTTTTTAACTCTGTGGAACAAATGGCTGAATCTCAACAGATCGTGACGACAAGGCCACTACTGCTTTTTTTTTTGAAAAGCAGCGTCCTTGCTAAGAGAGGTGATAAGAGCACCCCCTCCTAGCAAGAGACCTGGATGACTCTACTGCTTACAACACCCCTTTCCCTTAAAATTTGGACGATTTCTCGATTTCTGCGTGTCATCCTTGCACAGGAGCCATGCTAATCTTCTCTCTGTCGTTGCAAATTTAACGGAATACAAGGGGACCCACCGCGGCGCCGCGTGCGGCGACGAGTAGGTGAAAGATGGAACAGGAGAGGAAGGCCGGATGTGCAAGACATCGAGGATGAGAGCAGAGGGTCAAGCCCCTACCAATGAAAGAGATTGAACATCACAATTGAAGTGTGAATGTGTCAGTGTATGCTTTCTGACCACTGTCCGGAACTGTGCCCATGCGTTCCAACCTACTGCTATCTTCTCCGTTCGTGCATCCCCCTGTTCTTCCTCCCTTCCTCCTCGTTCTCTCTCCTCTGCAATCATTTTGTCCCCATCTTCTCCCTGCTTCCCCTCGTATTCCTGTCGCGATCTCCAACTTCTTCCCATCTTCTCTGCGTCGATCTCCTCCTTGTCGCCATGTCCTACATGCTGCCATCTTCTGCTTCCTACCTATATTTCCCCTGGCCATCTGCAACTTGCCTCGATTTCCTCCCTCCTCGTGGCGATTTTCTCTCAGGACACTGTCGATTCTCGTGCGATCCTCATGCTCGTGCTCTCCTCACCCACAGAATATCCTTGTGCTCCTCCTCCTTGTATCATTCCTCCCACGTCCTCCTTATCCTTGTCTCGCCCTTCCATCATTGTCACCTTAACATCACTGTATCCTACTGCTTGACATCCCTCTCTTCTCCTCCTTGGCGTCCCCTCTTTGCCGCTGCCTCCTCGGTACTTCCCTCTTCACCCCCGTCTATTTTGACATTCGTCTCTTTACCTCCTCCTGCAACTTGCCTCACTCTCCTCCCTCTCGTGCGATCCCCGTGCTTGTACTCCACCTCATCCATATACCATCAACCACTATGCTGTAGCGATTGATATCATCAACCATGACCGACAGTGCAAAGGAGATTGACTGAGATGGGGAATCGTCGTCAGAGGATGATGAAGAGGCGGAAGCAGGACAGACTAAAACAGTACCCTTCCACTCCTTTTCGTCTCCGTCCTCCCGTTCGTCGTCCGTATGGTCATCCTCTCACTTTTTGTCCTGCTCCTGCTCCTACCCACACAATATCCTCGTGCTCCTCCGCCGCCTCCTTGTATCGTTCCTTCCTCACCTTCCTTATCCTCATCTCGCTATTCCCTTGTCCTCATGTCGACACCACTGCATCCTCCTGCTGTATATCCCTCTCTTCACCTCCTCCTTGACGTCCCCCTCTTTGCCGCCGCCGCCTCGACATCCCGCTCTTCACCCCTTCCTCCTTTGCCATTCCCCTCTTCACCTTCACCTCCTCATCTCTCCTGCATCTCTCCTGCTCCTCCCCCCCCTCCTTCGGCACTGCCTGGATATAGCACTCGTTTATGTATGTACGATCGATTCAGCATGCACAAATCAAGGTGGGATGCGAGGAATTGTTTGGCCTGATTGATTGATTGATGAGTGATTCAGCATGCACAAATCAAGGTGGGATGCGAGGCAGGATGATTGTTTGGCCTGATTGATTGATTGATTGATGAGTGATTGATTGATGAGTGATTGATAGTTCGATTAATTTTTGTGCTGATTTGTAGATGATTGACTGGCTGATGGGTCGATTCATAGGTCAATTGATGTATTAAATACGAAGGTCATGCATGTGGGGGACCAAAAAAAAAGAAAAAGCGGCAGTGAGCAATACGAAAAAAAAAACACAAACGGAGGTCGTATCTTGATCCACCATGACATGCAAGATATCAACGGAGTTCAATAGATTGGTTTCTCCCACGAAATTACCAAGATCCCAACACCTTTCAATCACATGACATTGCCCATGCGAGATCAAACCCATGGCGACCCTCCGTCTCCTCTTCCTCCTCGTCTCACACCTCTTCCTCGGCGTCCTCGTCTCGCACCTTGTCCCCCACCTCCTCCTCCTGACTACTCTCATTCGTCTTCCCCCAAACAGAAGCGCATTGTCCTCCTTGATCACAACGTTCTCCTCATCATGCATGGAAGAGCCCTGCTTGTCGAGCCCATGTTGCTGTTTGAACGCCATGAGTGCGCGTTCGTGTTCATACGCACAGGTCCAATTCTCCCCCACACGCTTATTTGCATTCAAACACGCCACGTGACAGCCCGCGGTAAAAAAATGAACGTGCGCTCATTGCCACGGTCTGCACCCTGGGGGCTACGTGGGGACGTGCAGAGTTCAACACTTTTTTTCTTTTCTTTTCTCGGAATCCCATTGTTTGTTTGTTTTGCTTTTTTGGGGGTGGGTGGGTGGGTGGGTATTCGTTGGTTGTATTTGGAATCAAATCAATCAATCAATCAACCGAAGTTGATTGATAGTTGATTGAATGATTGATTCACTAGTTTTGATGAAGTGATTGATTGGTAGGGGGTTCCCCCCCCCCACCCACCCCCCCGCGCATATGTGCACACATGTTATGTGCCTGGGCGAAACGAGATACAGTATGGCATCCACATGTTCCCATACACATGCACAACGACAAGAGATAGGAGAGAGCAATCCACACCACACCGGAAGAGAGAATACACAGTGGAAGCACTTGAACCAAAAATAGAAAACCATGTTATTAACATCCACGCACCAACTAAGAAGAGAGTTTCAACAAGGAAGGGAGACTTCTTCTTCCTCCCAACCTCAAGCTAGCTATGGCGCAGGCCTGTGCCCAACCTATCACTTCCATCAAGCGCCACCAACCCTCCTGAACCCGACACGCCACTCAGCAGTCCAAACTTGATGCCCGCTGCAGATGAAGTGTCCGCTCAACAGGGCAGGGTAGCTCCAAGGATGAAGAAGAACACAAGCGGTTGATGAAGAAGGAGATGACTGCCACTCGGACAAACGCTTGCAAGAAGGGTTTCGATGGCAACCCTGCCTATCCCCAACAGCACAGGTAAGAGGAGGTGCGTCACAGCGCTCAGGGTCTGATGCCCACCGCAGTCACAACACTAGCCAGGAAGCCCCAGCTACGGAGGACAGACCTAGCAGCATGAAGATGATGCCACAAGTGAAATAACGTAGCACCCAAACAGCATGCGACCTCCACCAGCACTTCGTGGAAAAAACAATGACGAGACCGAACTCATTTTTCCTTGCCCTCCACACTTTTGTAGACTGCTGTTTTCCTGACTCGACAGCCTACAGTGTAGGAACGACATCCTATAGTCTAGGACCAAATCTAAACCTAAAATTGGCAAAAGGGGAGGACAGAAACGACCTACAACTCGAGGGCAGAAAGGACAAAACAGAGATACCTAGTGGCATTACAGCTAGCCTACAGAAACTCCTCCAAACAGACCTAGGGATCAAGCCCAGTTGGACTCTCACACCGAAAAAGAAAAAAACACTTCAAACAAAACAGGTCACGGGATCGGATCCCGGAGAGCCAAAACCAGGCAACATCAAACAAAGTTAGTGTACAGCCCCCATGCCGCTGCAGTTCATTGCACACACA